GCTCGAAAGAGGTTAAATTTCCGAAATTTTACCTGAGTTTCACCGGTTTTCACGGATTTTTCGTAATCTGTTCAACTGGACATCGTGTTTTTTCAACGTTTTGTGAACAAAATAGTGTTTCTTGCTCCCGGTTGCCGATAAAGGACTAGAAATACGCAAGAATAATTACGTGTTCGCGCCGAATGCCAAAACTCGATAATTTTGTTTCCATTGACTGAGTGAAGAACAAAACTAACTATTGTGACTATTTCTTTCAAGATTTTGTGCCGACGCAAAGTAACGACGAAATAGTGCCACATTGAGTTCAGAAAGATCTGGAAAACACACACACACACACACTTGCAAACAAGAGGAAAAGCTGTAAATAGATTTGCTTCTATTTTACATTGCACTCTGTTAACCACGGAAGATCAGTCATCGAATCGTTATTTCCTGCGATCTCGCGACCGTGCGGAAAATCAGCATTCTCAGTTACACCGACCGACGTTTTCGTGTGCAAATCTCGTTCGATTTTAGCTCAGCTACCACCGAATACTTTAAGTGAAGATGTTCAACTCGACATGGTGTACGGATTGTTAAACAGAAAAATTCGGGAAAAGATTCCTCGAGATAAAATCGCAACATTCACTGACCTACTTAAACAAGCACGGTTAGTTGAAGAAACTTTCGATCGTGAACTTGGTGACAATTTTAAGCGCGTTCGTTGCCAATATTGTAAAAATATCGGTCATTCAAAAGACGAGTGTCGCAAATTACAGTCAAAATATGTGAAAGAAAATGCTCCGTCAAAGCAAAACACGCAAACAATAACCGCATCTCAAAAGAGTTCGCAATCATCCACGTCAACAGCACCCATCACTGCAACTACCCCCACAACGTGTTACGGTTGTGGAAAACCAGGATTTGTTCGATCAAAATGTCCGGAATGTAAGCCAGTGGAGACTGCCTCCGTTGATTTTTCGTCAGTAGACACACTGATTAGTCCACGACCTCGTCCGGTACTTCTAATCAAAATCTTAGGACACATTGGGCAGAGAATTGTTGATACGGCAGCCAAACAAAGTGTTGCTGGTAGAACGCTCTACAAGCTATTGCTGGAAAAAGGTCAACAGTTTTGCAAAGAAGAAATTTCAGTAAAGCTAGCGGACGGACAAAGCAGGAAGACTCAAGTGCTCACAACGTCCGTAGAAGTAGACTTGAACGGAAAAAGAGTTCAAACTAAATTCATTATATTCCCCGAAGCAGACAATCGAACACTTTTCGAAATCGATTTTTTGAAAGACATGAAGCTTAGTTTTGATCTTCACAATGATGAATGGACTTTTGCCGATCAGCCAGAAGAAAAATTCCCACTGAACTATGAGAGTTCATCACCACTGCTGTCAAACACGGTAATTGAAGCATCATCGTTGGAGCATTTGCGATCAGACGAGGGAGTAATGTTGACAGATGAACAGAAAGGGCGCCTAAATCAACTCTTGACAGAACGAAAGGATACCTTCCGTTTGGGGGGAGAACCAACCCCTTACACTCGACATTACTTCAACACGGGAAACCATCCACCAATTGCCCTTCCACCCTACAGGATGTCGCCACAGAAGAAGGAAATTCTGAAACAAGAATTGGACAGTCTCTTAGCAGAAGGAATTATTGAAGAGTGCGAAAGCCCTTGGGCTGCACCCGTTGTTTTAGTACCAAAGAAAGATGGAGGTACACGTCTCTGTATTAATTACCAGAAGTAAAATGTCGTGACTGTAAGCGACTCGCATCCGCTTCCGAGAATCGACGACTTACTTCACGCAGCAAAACGTACTCTACATATGACGACGATTGACCTACGATCAGGTTATCATCAGATAAATGTTGACGAAAATGATCGAGACAAGACAGCGTTCGTTACGCCTTTCGGGACTTTCAGGTATTGTCGCATGCCGTTTGGATTGAAAAATGCGCCTGGAAGGTTTCAGCGCCTAATTGATCGTTTTCGAAACGGACTTGGAAAAGTAACGCTTCTCGCCTATCTTGATGATAATATTGTCGCCAACTTTTGAAGATCACATTAAAGACTTGGAGTCAGTCTTCGATAGACTTGACCAATTCAAACTCCGTGCAAATCGCAAGAAATGTGTCTTCGCGTGTACACAAGTCAGATACCTGGGACACCTACTCACACCAGACAGAATTTCCGTAGATCCAGAGAAAACTGCAGCGATGTCACAAAGACCTCCTCCACGTAATGTCAAAGAAGTCCAGTCATTCCTGCAAACCGCCAGTTGGTACAGACGATTCATTGAAAAGTTCGCCGAGATATCTCGACCATTAAGCAACTTGACGAAGAAACACGCTACTTGGCAGTGGACCGCAGAAGAACAGACTGCGTTCGAGACATTAAAGCAGGCACTAGTATCTGCACCTGTGTTACAACAATGCGACGAAACCAAACCGTTCACAATCAGAACTGATGCCAGCAATTACGCTCTTGGAGCTGTACTCTTACAAGATGAAGCTGCCGATGAACATCCAATCGAATACGCAAGCAGACTGCTCTCATCTGCCGAAAGGAACTATTCCACTTCAGAAAGGGAAGCTTTAGCAGTAGTATGGGCACTGAACAAATTTAGAGGCTACATAGAAGGCTCATCTATCATAGTGCAAACCGATCATCAACCTTTGAGATGGTTACTCAATCTAAAATCACCCACAGGACGTCTAGCGCGGTGGGCTTTGCAAATTCAAGGTTATGACGTAAAGATTGAATATTTACCAGGCAAACGGAACGTGGTAGCAGACACCCTATCACGACCGCCTTGCGCACATGATGAACAAAGAACTTGCGAAATCTGCATGGTAACGATCGAACTGCCACATCTTAGCGCCGAAGAGATAAGAAAAGAGCAACTAAAAGACCCGGAACTCGAAAAAATAATCAAGAGTTTCGAATCAACAAATTCAGAAGATATTGCAAGATGGACAGACCGTGGATATCTAACAACTCAGGGAGTTCTGTACAAGTATTCTTCAGAAGAAGAGGAAGAATAAGCTCAACCGGTTGTCCCTAGCCATGAGAGGGAAAAGGTTCTCCAAGAGTATCACGACTCACCAAGTGCTGCACATTATGGTGTTGAGCGAACTTTAAAGCGAATAGCCAAACGATATTACTTCACCGGAATGAGGCGATACATAGCCGAATATATAAAGAATTGCTTAGAATGTCAGCAATACAAGGCATCGAACCAAAAGCCAGCAGGATTATTACAAACACCTGTATATGCCCAACGTTTCGAGACACTAAGCATCGACCTTTTTGGACCATTGCCCGAGGGACCACATGGAGAAAAGCGGACCTTGATAGTCGAAGACAACTCATCAAAGTGGGTTGAGTTATTTGCCTTAAAGAGAGCCACCGCCGAAGAATGCGCACGGACTCTCATCGACGAAGTATTTTTCCGGTATGGTTTGCCTAGAAAAGTGATTAGCGATAACGGTGTGCAGTTTGTGTCAGCCGTCATGCAACAAGTATGCTATATACTAGACATCAAGGAAACGCTTATACCACTGTACCACGCATCAGCAAATATGGTTGAAAGGAAAAACAGAGAAATCAAACCAAGACTAGCAATGCTTGTTAAAGAAGACCATGGTTCATGGCCTGAGAAACAGCGCATGGAATGAAACAACTAAGCAATCTGCTGCTTACCTCACCTTTGGGAGAAAATTAAGGACCCTCGATGACATCAACAAAGATTTCCGCGTAATAGCAAATACGGACAATTTCGTACCACAGATCACCCCTTATCTTCAGAAAATTGCAAGGACATGGAACGAAGCTAAAGAAAGCCACGAAAAGCACCAGGATCGACAGAAGCAGTATGCTGATTCGAGAAGATCAAACCCGCCAACTTTTCAATTAAAGGATAGAGTTTGGGTTAAGACGCATGCATTGAGCAACGCAGCCAAAGGAGTGACAGCCAAATTTTACCCGAAATGAGATGGCCCCTACGAAATAATCAGAGTTGTATCACCACCAGTTATGAAGTTGCCAGTCCAGACGACTTGAAAAAGACCCTTGGAGTGTATCATGTCTCCTCGTTAACTCCTGTAAATTCCGCTGAGGACGAGAAACCAGTCGTTAGTTTGAAGAGAGGAGGACGACCACCAAAAAAGATATCTGGTTCCTCCTCGAACCGAGTTTGAAACCAGGGGGGGGGGGGGCCCGACGCAAAAAACCCTTTGATCCCGCTCGGACCTCGGCACGTCACGACGAGTCGGATTCCGACACAGGAGTTGTTGTTCGACGGTGTTGCGCGACGGACGCGAATTTTTTCCTTTTATTTCACGCAATTATTAAAGACACGCAATCTCAGTAAAATAGTAAGAAGTCTGTTCCGTGTTTTCGTGCTACCCACTTCACCCCGAGAGGACCCTGTTCTCTTACAAACCCCATTTTTAAATCCATTTTTGCATTTTGCGTCAAATTTAAAGCATGTTATTAATTTACCTTATTTCTCATCTTATTCAAAACTTTAAATTTTCTAAACGATTTTTCCTTATACATTTTTGATTTTAAATTTCCCAAACGGAGAAAATCCAGTGGCGTACTATCTGGAGATCTTGCAGGCCATTCAATTGATCCACTTCCACCAATCCATTACTGTTGAAACTGTTGAAACCAAATATCTGATAAATCAGAAGAAATTACGAGAATAGGAATGAAGTTATGTTTAGAAAACTGTAAATATTGGGTTTTGTTGCAATGTATTATTTAAACAAAACGTGGCGCTTTATCACTAAACACTATCTAACCATGAAAAAATGGATTTAGGTTGTATATCTCCATCATACAAATACTAAGACATCTCTTAGCATTTTTGAACCATTGTCTACCACCTTCAGCTATTTCGGTCAAGTTCTGGGAATTCAGAAGATTTTAAAATAATGCAAAAAGGTACTTCCACGATTCCTACTTCAAATTCTAGAACTAGTCATTTTTTGTATCTTACCTTTCTACGAAATGCTTGTCAAAATCTGCCTGAAACAAAAAAAAACATTACCGGAAAATAAATAACAAATGAGTATTTTTATTTTTTAAAGAGGAAAAGTAGTGAAGGGTACAAATGTTGGCGAAATGAATTTTCAGGTCCGCAATATTTTTGATAAATGAGCCAACTCTCCGCAAACTTCTTTAATATTCATATTTCAAAGTAATTTGCTGTTTTGGGCATTTTCGGTGAGTTACGTGTATTTACTATCTCTTCGTCACTCATTTTATTATTTTAATGAGAATCGAAAGCTTGTTTCTATTTGCTTAAAATGATCAATGCTTCAATTATGCTATATAAATAAAATATTATAAATGTAATTAGGTATTTTACAGACGGGACTAGAAAAAAATATTTTTTCTACTCCCTTCTGTAAAATACCTAATTATACACCTATCTAGATTTCGAAAACTGTTGTTTCACTACGTGAGTTTCGTCTTTTTTTTATCACTGATACCAACAAATCTATATGGCTGAAAAGGTCTCGGCAACGGGCATTTTTTTAAAACCGTAGCCAACTATAAATGCCATATAAAATAAGAAAGTTTTATTCATTTATGAGAAATCGGAGAACTGCAGAAAAAATCTGAGTACGTGACTGCATTTGCCCTTTAAAATGTTTTTGTGAGAATCCAGATTTCATAAATAAAAAAATTATGGGCAATTTTCAAATGGTCCCAAAATAGAAAAAAAATATCTCGCTTGATAGTGAATATATCGTTAGGCGGTTTCAACTATTAAATGTTTCTTCAAAAATGAAACCCTTGATATGTAAGTTCATTTTGCTCTATCTAGTACAGAAATAGGTTTTTCCTGTTAAAACAGTCCAATTACAACCACATGTATAATAATTATTACAACTCATCTATTTTGAAATTATTCTTTTTCTATATAATTTTTTATTTACTAGATCCCAGAGTAATTAGATTTTAATTAGCAATTCTAATAAACTACCTGTAGAAACTCCGCTCTCATATTGCTTTCATTCATTAAGCTCGTCTTTCTATTGCAGGCCAAAAGAACTATGAAAAATTTTTTGGGAAGGTCCATTCAATATGCGGATGCGCGAGATTTAAAGTTTCGTTTTTAACCAATGACCTTGCGGCATTCAGTATTTTCCGAAAATATAAATAAAAATTTTGGGTATGGAAATCGCAGTTTAAAAAGAAAATTGCGCAAACTGTGGCATGTGCGGAAAATCATTCCTTCTCTAAGAAAATATAAATGCCGCCTGCGCAGCATCAATATTTACCATAGGAGTGCCACTATATTACCTAATGGCTATATGGTGCAACCCTAATATAGAAACGTCGAGAGATATGTAGGTCTTAAAATCTGAAATACGGAATAATGTAATTGCAATTTATCTGAATTTTACGATGAAACCTTTAAGTTTTCCATTTTGTTTAATGATCCTTGTCACTGCAAATTTTCATTTTATTACTCTCAGGAAATAATAAAATATTTATTGATTGGGGTAAAAGATATAAGGTACTTCTCGTAATATGCTAGTTTGTCATGCCATCAAATTTCATTGTTAGTCTATTCGTTAGTATTTTGCAATTTATATATGACGTTAAAAAGTGTTATCGGTCTGTCACTCTATCTGTTTTACCTCCTTTTTGTAGAGAACTATCGTTTGGTATTCTTTCTTCGTGTAATATTTGTTTAAATAGTGTATTGCTGACTAATTTTCCTCCATTTTTCAACATTTCCACAGTCACTCCACCTTTTGCTGGAACTTCATTGCACTTCATGTCTTCGTAAGATTTAATTTCTCAAAGAAACTTCCACAGGGTACCGAAATACTACTTAAAAATCTTCTGGACTCTTCCGGGTGTTTAGAAATCAAACTTGTTTGAAGCATGTTTTTAAGATTTACTTATTTTTGAATTACTGATTTCAGTTTGGAGCTCTGAGATCACGTTTTTTAATTTAAGTTTGAGTTGTTTGTTTATTTCTTCTGAGCGATCTTGTTTTATGCGATATAGTTCTTGAATTATTTCTAAAATGTCGTCCTTAGTGTTCCTCCCTATTTCATCTTGGTCTTTAATTGTGTTAATTTCGAATCTTCCTAGTTTGATTTTCAGACATTTCAAATTATTTTTCTCCGTCATATCTTCTATCTTCGCTTTCTGGATTTTCCTGGTTTAATTTTTTGTTGACGGTCTACTTCCTTTCTCTTTAGTTTTCTTCTTTTTTCGCTTTTTGTGTCTGATATTTATATATTTATTTTTCTTTTTTATTTTTGTTGTAAGAGTGTTGTTTATTTCATTCGTGTTTTTGTTGTGGGAGTTTAATTTTTTTGTTAGTTGCTCTTTTGTATATATTTTTATTTTCCAAATTTGTTGTCATTCTTCACTATTAATACGCAAATGTTCCCTTGCATGGTGCTATGGTCAGGCTATCTTTCATATATTGACTGAATTTGAAAACTACTTTCTGGGTGATTTATTACTATATCTTAATTAATTATTATTTCAAAATTTACAATAAACCCCCACACTACAAAAGTGCGATAATGCCATATAGAAATTAGATAATATAGTGTCCATAAGGACAGTAAAAATTGATGCGCCTCAGGCTGCTATATTTTTGTTCGTTCACAAACCAACTTGGTTCTTGTGCCATTTTCTTTCTAAACAGCGATCTCCACCCACTTTGTTTGATCTACTTGCCGGGCCGACTGGTGGTGGGAGAAATTCTAAATGGAACTTTTCCTTACTCGACTAATGGAAAACAGTTTTGCAAACATGGCTGGGAACAAACCCCGGAATTTTCTTTGCAATTTTTTTGTTATTACAGTGAAATAATGAAAAAAAAACATTCAATACATTTATGTCAAAATAAAACTTTGCATAGGCGGCTCAATGTACATCCAGAAGTTTATACCTATTTATTGATGTTGTCGTGTTGTTGATCTGGATCATTAGGGAAAACCATTAATTTACAAGTGGACAAAACTTGATATCCTTCTGACAACCTTTTAATTTAAATAGTATATTGCTGTTAATAGAATAAGATCGGCTTGTTTGGATGTGACTTCTGAGGTTCCTCACTGCCAGCAAAATTAATTTGAGTATCATAGCTGTAGTCCGTTGAGTCTTAACATAAACAATACCAAATTGGACGTTTCTAATGAGGCACAAAATCTGGGACCTTCGTTGGATGCTGACCTACGATTTGAGTCCGAGTCTAACTAGAAATCCGTCTTCAAATTAAACCTGTTATACAATTATAATTCCCCCAATATCTTAAATTCTGGTATTAAGAGAATATTGTTTGATTAAGCGAATCTTTCCTGTTGTAATTTTTGTAATATCGTGTCTTTGTTTAATAGCAAACAATGCCTCAAATTAAAGGCTATAAACTGGCTTAATATGAAGTGCAGACGCACACTAAACTGTGCATTAATTTATCACAAAAAAATTCAATTTAAATGTTCACCATCCCCTTACAGAAAGATAGTGTTTCGTACTGATGTTCACAATTTGAAAGCAAGATATAGACTTGCATTATAAAGAATAACAATTTTTGAAAGAAGCTTCTCTTATAATAAATCTGCCTTGTTTAACTGTATCACAAACGAGCTGGATCGGAGTGATTATATTACCATTGCACAATGACTTGCTTGTCCTATATTTACCTAGATACATGTATGTTAGTAATTCGATATGTTTCTTTACAACTATCTCAATGTTAGGATAATAATTGTTGAAACTCAAAGCCATTAGTATTGTATTAGATTGTCTGCTGACTAAGAAGCGTGTGATTCCACAACCTTCTAGTAGTTTCCTACGCCCACAGTACAGCAGCGTATAAGATACGGATTAGGAGCGCTTGGTGGAACCCAGATATCAAAAACGCTAACCAACGTCTAGTCGCTGTAAACTCACAAATTTAATGAATTAACAATTGTACAAGTAAAATTGAACAAGTATAAGTACAATTTGAATCGTCTCGTTCAGAGTGTTATTTGCTATTATTAACATTCGTGAACCAAAGTAAGAAAAACAAATAAAATGTCAGAAACAAATACTGAACAAACAACAAATCCCATTAATCGAGCAAGAATTTGAACCATACACAGTCTCAGAAATGTTTTCCATTATACCAGAATATGATGGTGATCCAATAAATAAAAAAAGTGCCTGTAGCAGTGCTTATTAAAAGTGTACAATTGACCAACGCCCTTTGTTAAAATTAAAATGAAAAATCAATTACGTGGTCGCGCACACAAATAATATTAATTCATTCTTTCGATTTAAATTCTTGGCAAGAAATTTTAAGTTTATTAAGCACTCATTTTGCCGATCAGAGAGATTTAACTTTATTAATTTATGATTTGCGATTGGCAGATTATGTCAACTGCCAAAACGCGACAGCTCGTTTACAAACACACAGCGCAAAATTAATTTCTGCAATTAACAAAGTTTGGCAACTCAACAAAAAACAGTCAAAATTTGGTCTTAAATACTTTATTAACCGGTCTAAAATCTGACTTAGCAAAAATAAACATTATAAAATGCGATTTGCAAATATCATGTTTCGAACAAAAATAGTTTTCAAAGCGAAAATAGTATGCAAAATGATCGCCCAAATTACGCGGGACAATCACAAAATCGACCATTGAGAGAGCAAGGGAGGCCATTGTCAGCAAATTGCTCAAAGAACAAATTATACGCCAAATTTTAACAATCCAACAAGCACTTTCCAACAAAGACAAGCATCACAACCAAATCAACTTCAACAAAACAGAATAGTTACACAGGTGCAAGAATTTCAATTTTAAATCCAAATCTTTTTGAAAATATTCCAAACACCCAAGAAGAAAACGTTTATATTAAAGGAATAACAAAAAACAGAGTTCATAAAACACAAATCAGTTCTAAATTATTTTAAACAAAATGATCTAATGAAAGTTTATTTAAATGATTTAAATCTTATGTTTGATGGAATATTACGATCAGATTTTCTCAAACATTATGAT